ATAACTCAGAGATGTCTGCCGACATAAAATACACGATAATCTACCCGATTAAAAAAGGATTTGGTTTGAATTTTCGCGACTCTGGGATTTGGCAACTTTGAGCTATTCTTTTAAAACTAACTGCCACGTAAGATTATTTTTGAGTTATCGCTGTTGGAAAATACCAGAATCTGCGTTTAAATCCCGGTGAGAACAATAGAAATTGCGCGAAATAATCAATCCACGACCGATACAAGCATATTTAAATTTTCTTGCTTTATTAGTTTAATGTAACCCGCAGTTGCGTAATGACTAAAAATATACATTTTTAAATCCTTATTAATCATAAAAGCCGCGGCCATGAAAAATGCGAGGCATTGTGTCCGATTATATATTATTTCGATTCGTAATTCCTGATAAACGGTAAAACTGGTAAAGACAACCTAACACAATTTGTGCCGTAGGCACACCAAATTTTGCGACTGACAAAGTCTAAAATACATTTTATTATTATCGAGGGCCTTCAAATACATAACTCGTGGTGTTTCCATTCGGATTAGTTTTAGTATTTTACAATGCTGTTTTCCAATAAAAGAAATTAATTGTGGATTCACACATTCTTTAGTATCTCGTCGTCGTACCTCGTTTTTCACAATAAACTCACAATTCCATGGGAGAACCGAAAAGTAATTACCATCGTACTCGTAAACAAGACATATATATGTTGATGGAAACTTGTATTTTCTTAGGGAGAATAAATACCAAGGTGACGAGGTTTACGGCCTAATGTCACTTGCCCATGTCTCGTCACCATAGAAACTTACGATCGAGCTGTAGTTTAAAAATGAATGAATTCAAATTTATCTCAATGTTCCACTTGGGATATTAAATATAGCAAGCCATTGAATCTGAAAGGCATACTTTATTAATGATGATATACGCAACCCCTACTAACAATATTTCATGCCTACATATAGTTTAGACGCCATTGCTGCCACCGTCTAAATTTTTTTATAACATTTATGAATTCATCTCATCAATAAACAAAATATTAAATCTCAAAAAGAAAAAAGTTCGCTAATTAATTAATATTTTTGTTTTTTAAAGATGAAATATTTTACAGTTGGAATAACAAAATATTCAATAAGGAAAAAAGTCAGGGAAAGCGTGATGATTATAAACAAAGGAGCAATGCGCTGCTGTGGTTGCTTAAATACAATAGTGTCCTAGAAGCTTAACTGACATGTATGCGGGGATTACTATGTTGATTTGTGTCCGTGGCAATGTTTGAATAAAGTTCCTAACCAAAATACGCAATCTTAAAAATTAACCAAATGAAAAAAGCGATTGCTCTGATAACAGTCGTTAACGATATAAACCATCATGAAAAAATCGAACATATTGCAATTTTGGTGACATTATTTGTTTCACAAGTTAAAATAGAACATTTGACTTCTTTACTGATAATTAAAATAGTATTTCAGTACAATAAAAAAAAAATGCTAAAATATTGAGAATTTTCCGAGAGAATGTAAATTGTGTTCAGTATATGAATAATCTAAATGAGAAAAAAAAATTAAATTACGAAATGCTAACATAAGAGTAAACCATTTGCGATAAGTTATTTTAAAAAAAAAGGAAAATAAATTTTAATTTTATGTCAAAATCTAATTGAACGATACTGATATCTGACAAAGAATATAGTAACAATCACAAAATATACATTTTTACTCATTTAATCGATTCGATATAACATGGCGCCCAACTGAATTTATTAAAAAAATTGATGAATCATTCATATTTGTTTTGTAAAAATTATAATTTAAAAAAACAAAAATAACAATTTCAAATATAGCATTCAATATAAGTTTCGATTTGTAACAATTTTTCTTGCTTTAAAATATATTTTCTAATTGTAATATTTTAATTTAGAGCGACGCGGAGATAAGATCGCCCAAAATTGTTTTGTAACCAGTGTGGCGTAACACGCTAAAATTATAAACGAGAATGTCGGTCAGAGACCGAAGACTTATCGATCGAAAGTTAGGGGATCCCCAAAACAGAAACTGCGGTTTCGATTCGAAAAATTCTGCAAACCCGAACTGGATTGTTTTGATTAGTTTTCAGCCAATATCAGAAATGTAGGAAACAATAGCCAACTCCCCATGTCGTCGAAATACTACTCGAGGAAATACTTTTATGAAGAATTCTGCAAATCCGAACTGGATTGTTTCTATTAGTTTCCAGCCAATAGCCTATTTCTGTATTTACCAATCCTATAGTTTGTGTCAAATACAACGGCGCTAGCCCAGGTTGCGACGGCTATTCAAACACAGCCTAGCGATATTTTGGTGAGGAATTCTGCAACCCCGAACCTGATTTAGGGATATGGACATTGCTTAAACTTTAAGGAGTAATTATAAGTAACGAGATACGATCTCGCGGCGTGTATCCTTCGCTCTGACTCAATAGTGTGGAAAATTTCTCGAAGGAAACTTGCGCATCGCGACGACGTCAAATTTACAAGAGAGATATGGACAAGGCTCAAAGATTAATCACGAGATACGATCTAGCGGTGTGTATCCTTCGCTCTGACTCACTAGCGTGAAAACTTGCGCATCTGATACGCACAAACACATTCAGCGCGTCTCGAAAATCTCTCGATTTGTGAAAATCCAGATCTCTTCATCACTAATTAATTAATAACTTGCTAATTATACGACACAATTCATCCAAAATCAATAGGCTTCTGGTCCGAGATATGATGAATGCACATGCAAAATTTGGAGCAGATTCAACCACGCCTTCGTGAGATATCGCGTGCATCTAACAGACAGACAGACAGACATACATACAGACAAATACCTATCAATATACTTACCGATCTTAAGATCGATAAGTAATTAATATGTCAAACGTCACGCTGCGGTTAACAGGTCAACTGGTTAGTTTTAGCCAGTTAACGGTTAAAGTGTTTTCCCTGAAATTCCCAGCACTGCTATATATATTTCAATTTATACGCTGATGTCGAGACAGTTTAAAACAATATTTATCACATTTATTATCTGTCAATACTTCCGTTTCATAATTGCGCGTGACAGTTGTTCAAATATTACTATGTGATTGATGAAATTAAAATCATATTATTGTACTATCCATTTTTGATGTTTGATGAGTATTCGGAAAAATGAAATTCAGAGCTGGTCAGGAATTAATGATTAGTGTTTCGTTATTTTGTATGTAAAAGTTACCACGGCAATATAATTAAAAAAATCCATCATTGAAATTAATAAACATGTTAAATTGCATCTCATCGGAATTTTTTTTTCAAATCATCACAAAATAGTTTTGCTATTAATAACTCCTTTACTTTTGTTTTGAGTTTGTGTCAGGATAGCTCCATTTCAAATTGTATTACAATTGAAGTGCCTAGTAGCAGAATACTGTTTTATAAAAGTTAGTCGTGTGTAAATAAATGTTTAAATTACAATTGAATGCTTATTCAAACTAGAAATGGGTATACGATTAATCAGATTTGGTCATGTTTGCAATTACAATGGGAAAAGTTAACAAAATTTTTTTTGCCATTTTTTAGTTTTTTTTTATATTTATGTTTCATTTCCATTTAACTTATATGTATATGTGTTTTATTCATATTATGTATCTATGTTTTATTACCTAATTTAAATAACAAGACAACTAATTTTAAATATTAAAATTAGGTGTATAAAAGAATACGTTCATATGTCGTACCAGAAGCCTATTGATATTGGATGAATAATATCGTATAATTAGCGAGTTGTTATTCAATTAGTGATGGGACACAATGTGTCACTATGGAGTAAGAACGCTGTTTTGGAGGATACCCTAACTTTCGATCGATAAGTTTTCGGTCTCTGACCGATATTCTCGTTAATATTTTATTGTTAATTTCAAACATTTGCATAACCGTAATGTATCTGCGGCAATGCGATCGATTTTGTACAGTTTATGTACATTGAATTATATATATATCTATTCCAAGCGATTCAGGAGTCTTTCTGAACCGGGCATAAGTATTTGTCGAAAATAGTTTAGAACTTTCCTCAGACTACACGTTACAAAAAAAATATGTATAGGTAATTTATCAAGAATAGGTATTTTTAAACCTTGCTACGTCATCCTAGCATAACATGTATCCCATCTATCAATAAAATTATTTCAGGGGCGTTCTAATCTCTTGTAGTAGTACTAATTGTAGTAGTAGTATTGTAACTGCCGTCGCATTGCTAAAATGTCAGAAAGAAAAGTATATTAGATATACATTAGGGATTCCTTTTTGGCGTTTGGAGAGTATCCGGAAAAGGTTTTATAGCGTATTTAATCTAATTTAACTTAAACATTTGATGAAAAGTGATGATTATGGAGTAAGATTTTGTTAACATTATGTTACAAAATTTTCATCATATTGAACAGTTTTTAATTTTTTCTAATATATATATAATAGAAGAACATACACCATGAGTATTCATTGCAGCTTAAGGAATTTGAATTCAAGTATTATACTTATATTTTATTTTAGGTTTGCACGAACTGATGGGCAGTTCATCACGACTCTGAATATTTTGTAAATCACGACGAAATCGACCTTAAATGTATCTCGTCCGTGACTATTTTTATGTATAGTACTATAAATGGTAAAAGACATTAGGATGTAAGAGAAAAATGGTTTATAGAATAAATCATATTCTATGTATCTTAAAATCTAGAACTATAGTATTTTGTGAAGGGAATTTATATAAATAGGAGATCTAGTATTGATTAAAGACACTCTAAGAGTTATGTAAAATTTTGACCAATGGAAAGAGAAAGTAGATATATATTTAATGAGTCAATACTTGTGAGAAATGTCGGGGGTCACAGAACTGCTTTTATCTTAACAAACAATCCACTGATATTAGATTTTAGATAGCTAGAAAAATATCTATTGTTTCGCTAATGATTTTCTCCTATCTATCTTTCAGATATACTATTATAAATATCCCACCTTGTAAATTTTGCATGTTTTAGTCATTCTAATAACAAAATTAGATTTCTGAAAAGTAGTAAGACAAAATGTGGATTAAAATATTTGAATATACAAATGTTTTAGCTGGCCTAACGGTCTTCATATTTTGGTTTTATTTGCAAAGAAAACCCAAAAGCTTTCCTCCTGGTCCTCGAGGTCTGCCGCTCGTCGGTTACATTCCGTTCATGGTTAACAACTCCGCAAAAACTTTTATGAAATTGAAAGAGAAATACGGATCAGTTGTCTCTGTTCAATTTGGACAAGAAGATTGGGTCATTCTAAATGATTATGACACCATTAACGAGGTTCGCTAGAAATGTTTTCAATGTAGTATTATTCAATAAAAGATGGAATAAGGTCGTAGCCGTAGTTGTTTTGTAATTTTTCTAGGTAATTCTAATTTTTAATCTTAAAAATAAGCACGTTATGAGGTTCATGTCAATATCAACAATGCCATTAATTATAAAATGCCTATTAATTCAAACCGATCTGTTTTTTATGAGGCGTATTTATACGTCTTTCACTTCAATCAAGACTTTGTACAGCAACTGTTAGGTAAATAGCTAATCTAGTTTGGAGAGAACAAAATCTAGCCCACTACACGCGCACATTTACGCAAATTATATTTAACAAATAGTTACAAATGTATTCTTCAGGCATTTGTAAAACAAGGACAAAAGTTTTCCGGGAGGCCCTACAATCTTTATTTCGAGCTGATAACCAAAGGCCGCGAGTTCTTGACAATGGATTATGGACCAACATGGAAATCTTTGAGCAAATTTGGCCATGCCACATTGAAAGAGTAATATTTTATATCTAATTTTATATGCCGAAAACAAGTATTCAATTTTTTATAAAATATATGCAAAATTGTATTATCTTAATTTAATGCTTTTATACCCATTTACTCTAAAGAAGGCTTTGCACAACATGTCACTACTAAATAGGAATCTACTATATTGTGGAAAGACCAGGTTTTTTCATGATTGACATCGTCTATGCAAATTATTACACCGTGGGTGACGTGGTTCTCATTCAATAAACGCTCATGAAATGGATGATTTAAAAGACACGTTTCTTTATATAAGGAGTGTAACGGTTTAAAATGTTAGAAGATAAATTAAAGCTTCGCTTACCACCTGGTCGAGTGTTATATACATATAGCATCTTACACATAAGAATAATTGTGAAATCATAAGCAGTTTTGTGTCATTATGAGACACTTGTTTTATTTGTTTAGTATTAACTAATTTGGTAGTTTTTTTTTTCTGAATTTTTTCAGAATGGGCGTGGGCAAGAAAAAGGTGGAAACAAGAGCTGTTGAAGAAACGAGATTCTTGATTGATAGTTTGACATCGAGCAACGGAGAGAGCATTCGTGTAATAATATATAATACTTCGACACCCTAAAATCTATGATACAAATCTTTAAAACATTATTTGTATTTTACCAACGCGCACTTTCTCATATTTTCATTTTAAATTAATTCAAGACAACACTTTCTTATATAATATAGGAACATTCTTTATGTGATCATTTCGGAAAACTCGGTGCTCTGCTACCGCTAATATTTTACCGCACCGGTACCGATGCAAAGCCTCTGATTCGATAGTATTTTAGCATTTCTATATTGTTTCTTTAGATGAAATTGAATCTCGCGTTATCCAATATGGTTTGTCGGATAGTGTTGGGTTCCAGGTTCGATTATCACGAACACAAATTCAGGCATATTGTCGAGATAATTATGAAACAGTAAGTTTATATCTAAGTATATGTTCTTTCCTGCTTATTGTCTTCAGGTAGGGTTGTATATTTTCTTCATTAATAATTCATGTAGGCATGACCACGTGCATAAGAAATCAATGTAACTAATTTATAGTCTTGTCCATGAGACACATTTTTCCGTCCCGTCCCTGCCAATAGCATATTATGATTGTTCCCTCTTACCCCATCGAACATCCCATTAAAATGACAATTCCATGCTCAATATTGGTAACTAATTTTAAATAATAAAAAAAAGGTAGTTGTATATATTTAATTATTAATTAATGCAAAATTTGAAAAACCAAGGGTAGCTCATAGGTAATCAGGTTTTAATCGGAATTGAAATCTGTGCCAGCTAGTAGCCCGTCTATGGACAAAACTATATGTGATTTTAATGGTTAAACAAGCGTTTTTAAGTACCAAAAAAAAGCGGCGAACCCAGTAATTTCCAAGGTTTTCAAGATTTATAATTTCCAAGTTAGATTGTAACAGCTAGCGTGTGTTTTCCAGATGTATTTAGGTACTAAATTGCGTTTCAATTGCAAATGGGAAATTTCTGATACAGAAAAAAAAATGCTATTTTTACATTTCAAAGGAGGGGGGGGGGGGGGGGGGGGGTCAGACCGGCAAAACCACCCATCTGGGTACTCCCCTGACGAACGACTTGAGACTTGAAGACACAATATTTTGAAAAAAATGCATTTTTGCTTCAAAAACTGTTCAGAAACTGTTTGTTTTCTACATTGAAGTTTATTCCCGCATTTTGATGTATCCAAAGTCTCAACCAGTTTTGCTTTGTTACCACGATTATTGTTCCCTGAATGGTGCCATGATTCGTATCATGAATTTTACTTTAAATGTTTGTCGACGGATGACTACATAATTGAACGAATTCGTAACCTCTAATCTGCGAGTTTAAGGTACTGGAGAAAAAATAATTGGCTGAGCACAAATTTGTATTTGAGTTTGAAACTATTCACGTATGTATGTTCAAAAAATAGCTTGCCATTAGATTACTAACGTTAATCAAACCATTACATTAGAACAATCACGAGTGCGAACCGAATCCGATGTAAAACATTAAATAAATCCCAATCTTCAATGAATTAGTCTCAATGTAAACCTAAGTAATAATTCACAAATTCTATCTCACTTGAGGGTTATTTAATTTTATTTTATTTAAAGGTCTGGAGTCAACTCTCATACACATATGTTATTTGCTGTTTCCATAGCACCTTTTTTGCGTTTTATCCCTCCGTTCAGCAAATTTGTGAAAATTACATCTGACGAAACAGAGTGTCTTATGGGTAAGATTTTTTGATAATTTTTAAGTTCATACTAATATGAAATGTATGTGACTCTTTTTTTCCGTATGACGAATATATTCGTACTACCATCCTTGGTCATAATAGTTATTTTTGGACTATATTACGTTATGTTCATGTTTTGTGAATTATTCCCGCACTAACTAAAATCATTTTAGGCATCCAACTATGATCCGTGCTTGATCCGTCAACATTTTTTTTTGTAAATTTTTCATTTTACTACTAAGTGAATTTTATTTGTGTAGGTATTTCAAAGCTTAGGGATACACGAAAGTATTTGTCATTACTTCAAAGATAAGTCATTTGAACGAGCGGGAAACAATTTCGTGCACATAATAAACAAACAAAGACTCCAGACAACTATCGTGAACATGCTCTCACATATCTTAAATATCTCTAGTTTGAATTGAAACATATATTTGAACCAATTCAAGAGTCCTGCTGCACACTAACACAAATGTATTTCTGTAACATGTTTTTCCGTTTATTGTAAACTGCTTGTCTGAGAAAGTCTGACTTTGGTCAGACGGAACGTTACAGAAATAAATTTGAGTTAGTGTGCAGCAAGACTCTTGAATTAAATAGAATAGTCATATGATTTATTGCTACAGCATTCTTGCAGTATATGCATACAGATCAAATAGCATGAAGGCATAGAGAGGTTAGTCCCGCGCACCCCAACTCAAAGTCCTTTTTGAACATTTCATATTTCATGAAGTAGAACATAGTGAATAAATTGAACAAAACTATGTTGCAATTTATGGAGAAAGCAAGAGAAGATAATGCGGCTATTGCGGATCCTTACACTCTTGCAGTAATAAATGCACTGGAAGAATCGGCGAAATATTTAATGGGACGACAATAGAAAAAAATTATGTAATTTTATCCATGTGAACGCCCTTTTCGAACATAAACTGTATGATTAGGATTTTATGCTTGATGGGGACAAATATGAGTGTGGACAAGGGCCACGGTAAATAGATTGGCGGGCCGGGTTGTGACAGGCGGGCAGCCCGTTGCAGAGCCCTAAACAAAATGTCAATATCAAGTGGCTCCAATCGGGTAGCCAAACATTGAACAAACAAGATTTTGCTAAAACTATAAAGAATTGCTTCTTCCATTTCAGCGAAGGCTTGTAACAGAATTTGCCCAGGGTCGTCGTAAAAGTTGGGGCGGGGCATTAAATAATGCATCGTGCAAGAAATGTTTTCTACTGGACGTTAATTTATCGGAATTGCGTTATGCAAATATAATACCAATTACATATATAATTCAGTTTCCTGTCAGTTTTAGTTAGCAAAAGACTCATTTTTATCGTTTTTTTTTTGTGTTCGGTGACTTCACCAAAATCAAGTATTTCGCTTCCTGTGACGGCCGCGTTTTCGCATTAGAGGTCATATGATCCGACGAAGTCGTGATTAATGAGTACCGGTTGGCTACTGTGACAGACTGTATACCCTTACTATTGCGCGTCCATATATTTGAGCATCGTTTTCTTGTTATTTATATTATACTTATTTTTTGATTCCACAAGTAAATACTGTAAATAAAAATAGTATTCTATTTTTAGCATATCTACGTGATTTTGTAGAAGAACACGAATCTAACTTTGATGATTCAGACATCCGGGACTTTATCGATGCTTTTATGAATGAAATGAAGAAACGAGGAAAAGATGATGATGCTTTCAACGTAAAAAATTGTATTGCTCCGACTCCCACAGCCCTGTTTTATATGAATTATATAATTTATTCTAGCCAGCTAAAACGGCAATAACAAGTTTTTGTTTATATTTTTATTTTTTTTGCAGAAAATTCAACTCATTAGATACGTTCGTGACCTTATCCATGCTGGATCAGTTATACCCAGCGTTACGTTGACTTGGGCTTTGCTCGCTCTGGTCTGCTACCCGAAATGCCAAGAAAAAATAGCAGCGGAAGTATTCGCAACCTTGGGTAATTTGATATTGTTGATAATGTTACTTAGTGATACAGTCTTTTGATTAATTAAGCTTTTATATTAGTCGATAGTTTATGTCATGAATAACAAGAGATCTAAAGCACACAGGAAAAAGGTCAATTGCCGTGATGTTATATTATGAATGTTTGTTGTAGAAACTCCGAAAACAAAATTACTTTGGTCTTTTTCGTTTATTTTTTTAATTAGAAGTTTTCCTGAAGCATTATCAAGCGCACTCATTCGGGTGCACTGGGCAGTAATCTAAAGGCGCGCAACTCACAGGATGTGTACGGTGGATTACATTATTATTTTTTTATTACTTTGTGTTCTACAATAGTAAATATAAAAGACGTAACCTATGGGTTATGACTTGGATTGCACTCAAAACACAGAAATAAGCTTTGTGCATCAGTACATAACATACCGTTTTGACAAAGAAAAATTAGGTTTTGACATGACGCTATGCGGTACTTGGTTGTTTAAAATTAATTTAAAGACAAGGTGTACAAATTTTTAATTACAAGGAAACTAATGTAATTCCTATTGTCATACATATCATTTCTATAACCTCATTGAAAAGGAATTGTATATAAGATTCGTTTTGCTGAATTACCGTTGTCGCTGTTGTTGTCGTTAAAAAAATTCCAATGGTGAAACATTTATATTCGTCCTGCTTTACCGCCTTTGTCACGTGTTTCCGTACAATTAATATCAATATCATTCAATAGGTGAAACTTGAACATTCCCATTTTTTCTTCTTCTAATAGGTGAGGACGGTGTTCCTTCAATGGATCATAGAGATAAAATGCCTTACACCTGTGCCTTTATACAAGAACTAATTAGACATAAAATTTTGGCGCCTTTAAGTATATTCCATAGGAACAACGAAGAAGCGAATATCAATGGATACACTATCCCGATAAATACAACGGTACGTATTTACCATGGATTGATGACTATTTAATATTTTTAGAATGCTCAACAAATACAAAACTAAACAACCCAATAATAGAACATAATTATGTATTTTAGACTTTATTCTTCATTGTTTGTTTATACAGTAAGATGTATTTATTTTATAGCAAAACGCCGCCTCAGGCAGAAGTTGAGTTATGCTCATTTTGGGGAAGTTTCTTTAGAGGAATTTTTAGAGAAACCCATTCTCGACGAAGTTAAATCAGCCATCTATATTCTAGAGCTGAACATGGGCAAACTACGGGCCAAATTCGGCCTGCTGGGTATCAATCACGCCCGCCTGATGCTGACACAACCACACTAAAACCAAATTTTGTTGTTTTAGCTAAATATTAGTTCGATTACGATTAAATTTTGTTTTTGCACGAGACTTATTGCTTTCCACTTTTGTTTTTGCAACACTGAAGGTATTATACCTAAATATAAAATTTTACGTCACACTTACATGGCCCGCCAGTCTAGGTGGGCAAAATTTTCGGCCCCCAGGTCCAACAACCTGACCCACTCTTGTTCTACAGCATAAATATTATCGGAGATACAGGAGCGCAAAAACCTATATTTATACTGTATTGTTTAATCCAGTGGTTTCCAACCTTTTTTGGCTCGCGACCCCTTTTGGTGGTTTACAAATATCCACGAACACCTGCCTCACTTTCTATACTATCAATAAAATAAGCGGTAAAAGGAGGCGAGGTTCTTACCACTTCATGACAGCTGCTGCCACGAACGTAGCGATGGAAGCTCTTGTCGTGGTTATGGCGCTTTTACAGGTATATTCACAAAGTCGTGTACCAGATTTCAGTGCATCATGCGGAATTATATCTACTTAAACCTGAAACCTAACCCCAAACTTATCAAAACTGTATTCATAAGAAAAATGTTTCAACCCAACCCATATTTATTGCCATCAGGACAGCCCTGCCATTGAAGCCGACATGCCATGTCAGCCGCATTTGGTTTTCAATTTGCTGCCGTGGTAACGACATCTCGCCATTGATTTGTACAGCTAAAAAGTCAGTCGCCTTGGGTTTGGCCATAGCGGCCATGGTTTCAAAATCCCGCCATTGCTTCGAAGCCCGCGTGGTTTCCGCATTGTGACGCGCGGAATAGCAGACGAGTTCGTGTGACGGCACAATGGTTAACATGCCATTGACACCTCGCGCCGCTTGCTTGGTTTCAAAGCAATAAGCGGCATTCTGGGGTCTCACGACAGCTAGTGAAAATCTCTCGGAGGCAGACGAGAGACCATTCCAGACTTCTTCGCGTTATATTGCCAATATTTAACTAAAGTTTTGTATTGTTTTCTACTGTTTTGTCAGACCTTCGCGACCCCCCTGGAGGTCGCGACCCCCAGGTTGGGAACCACTGGTTTAATTCAATTGAAAACACTTTTATCGGGCCTGGAATCTTTCTTCAACTTGTAACGACAAAATAGTTAATCACACTGCAGTCAGTCGCTCGCTCTCACAATTGAACTGGATAAGCAAAATCGATACCCATCGAGCGTTGAAAATATGTTTCTGTATTTCAGATTGTTCCAAACATTTGGGCAGTTCATAACGACCCCAAATACTTTGAGAATCCGAGAGAATTTCGACCTGAGAGATTTCTCGACCGCGACGGAAAATTCTGCAGATCATATCACGTGATTCCGTTTTCGATCGGCCTTCGACGTTGTATGGGAGAACCACTTGCAAGGATGACGCTATTTGTATTTCTAACGGGAATTATACAAAAGTTGCAAGTGTTGCCAGATCCTGTCAAGCCCCTTCCTCCATTCGATGGCGATGTAAATCCTATTATCACATACGAGCCACCTCAGTTCGATGTTGTTTTTGAACGACGATAAAGTGTTTTTTGTTTATAAATGAAAAAAATCAGCTTTTTATATGTGGGGTAAATAGCATATAAATAACGTGACCTAGTTATGAATTTATTTCTCAAAAACAATAATAATTTGGAAAAACAGTTGAAATATTGTGCGCATATTTATAGGCTAATAGGGTTTGTGATTAAGTGCAAGTCATATTTCCTCTTTTAAAATCAATCAAATACTCTTTAAAATAGCAATCAAAACATAGCAATTGATGTCATGGTTTAATAAAATGGACAAGCAATGCAAAACAGGAATGAGTTATATAGTTGGAATAGCTCAGGTACTCGTAGCCTTGTGTAGCCTTGAACATAGCGCGTTTCACTTGGATGATAAGACTAATATGTAAGAAGTTGGCATTATTTTAAATTTTGAAATTGTTTCGGTTCGACGTGAAAACACTTCAGAGAACAGATCCTCAGTTTTTTAGGTCAGGTTGTTGAACAAGTTGCCGCATTCAAGATTTTGCAGCGACTTAAAAAGCATCGTTAACTACATACGGGAACAATGTAATAGCAATATAATTTTTTGGATTATAATTACAAAAGTGTTTAGTGGAATATAAACTATAGAATAATTAATCTTTTGGCCAAAACAAAGGAAAATTAACATAGATGGTGTCCTGGTGGAGCATTAACGGTTATTGGTACAAATACTATTGGAGAACTCGTGAATTGGTTACCATCAATGAACTAGCTTTGGATTTTATAACGTTATTTTACTATATTTAATCAGCTTATGTCGTTGAAGTACAGTACACTTATAAAAATGGAACCAATTAAAGTCCTGATTATTTCTACAAAACTTATACATTTACTAAATTACTTGTACACTTGAAATTATGTTTGTGTGTGATTGTGGCTAAATAGTTCAGTATTCTAAGACTCTTTGCACAAAAAATAGGGTGTCTGTGATAGTACTAAATGGTTCTGTGTTTTGGGTTACCAGTTTAAATAAGTTAATATACGATTATTGAGAATCTATTAGTATTTTTTTGTGTCGTACGAAAGATAGGTAAGAAAGTTCTAGATGTAATTGGATATACGACTAAATGTAATTAAAATTAAGATTATGGGCACTTGAGAACAATGAGGAAGTAAACCAATATTTAAACGTAAATCAATGCTTAGTTTGGTGAGGTCCAATTTTAAATTTAAATAAGATAAAAGTTATTGCTGAATTTTGATCTTAAATAACGTTGAAATATAATAATAATTATTAATAATAAATGAATGAATGAACCATCTATTCGAAATATGCTAGATGGTTCACTATATAATACATTTGAAATTTACATAGGAATGGCTCGTCTAACAGGTGACAGAATGAGAGAGGTGAAAATATTTTTGTTATTTTTGGACGTTTCGAGAGACCCCTATCAACATGGGTTTGAGTTTACAGTCCTCCGGTAACATCTAGTGCAGAGGGTTGCCAAGTTTTTTTCATGTCGACTCCAAAAACAACTTTCAAGTCTCCAGTGCGACCCCAGGTAAATAAATATATTTTTGATGGAACTTTGGAGCTTCTCTCATTGGACATATGAGATTGTATTGAGTAAAATAAGCTAAAACCAAAAAGTGATGTCACAATATTCACCTATATTTTCTATAGCATAAGCATAGAGCAATGCCCATGGGCCTGTTTTACAGTAAGCCATGGTACGAACTGCAAAATTTAACATGGTATGTCAAATCTCAGATGTTTTGTACATCCATCCTCTGCCATAACTCAACGACCCCGCCGCCCTAATGACCTGTTTGCAACCCTAACTATTTATCACTCCGACCCATTTTGGGGTCGCGACCCCTGGTTTGGGAACCGCTGATTTAGCGTATAGTACTCAAAAAGACCTTTCCAATGATATATAATTATTGATATATTGGGTGAATCTCGGGGGTCGTATGACATGAATAAAAATAGGTATACAAAGTTGGACCGGAATGGCCGTCTGAAGCAGGAGTATTTGGCTAGTTTAGTTTTATTTTATGGCTCCGGTAGTACTGCGTAAAAGAAACGATCTGTTTTGCACTTTCAGAAAGTTATAAGTTTGATGGTTCAATGTTTTTCAGGTCTTGAGTAAAACTCTAGAAAGTAACTACCCAGGTTCTCGTAGACTCTTGTATTAACTGTGAATGTAGGAAAGGTAAAACTGACGGTATAAACAATTTGAAAAGATATTACCAAATGTTTTCTGTCAGATGACTATATATGGAAATAATATTCAAATTTTATTTTATATAACAAGTGTATGGTGGCCCATCGTTGTCACGTGTAAAATTTAAAAAAAAAATGAAAAAATAAAATGAAAAAGCGAAAATAAAAAAATAGTTGTGAAAAAACATGAAAATAATTGAAAAAATAAAAATAAAAAAAAATTTAAATTAAAAAAAAAAATTGAAAAATAAAACAAACAAAAAAAAAATAAAATTAAAAAAAAAAATTAAAAAAAAAAAAAAGTGAGTTTGAAACCCAGGGAACACATTTGTGCGCGTAGGATTATGCCTGACAACGTTGGTCCCAAGCAGAAGCAAATTTTCTAAAAATAAAAACGCGTGACAACGATGGGCCACGAGGCGGACCATCGTTGTCAACCTTTTTATTTATTTTTTTTTTTTTTTTTTTCGTTTTTATTTATTTATTTTTTTTTAATTATAATTTTTTTTTTTCATTTTTTTTTAATTTGTAATTTTTGAAAACCAACATAAGCAGCATTCATTGTTTATCTTTAACAACACAGTGGAATGAAGAATACTATACCGTACATATCCATATTTGCCTTTTACGTCCGGAGAATTACAAAAATACTTAGAAACAATTAGTACAAACACAACGCAAATTTCGAATAATTCAGACGTTTTAAATTTGATAGTTGTAAAGTGCAAGAACAAAAACATTTCTGAACTATAAACATTTCTACGCATGAATTTAGCCTCAGTTTTCATAAACCAGTAATTTTCAATATTATTCGTTCAATTCATTCAACTCTTTATTCCTAACTCGCGATGCACTATGCACTGGCCGTACATTACTTAATCAATCGGTAATGGATCGTTAGCTCGTGGTATAAAAGTATTATAATATTATTGAAGAAATGAGGTTTATTGCTAATTCCACTCCAAATAATATTTCTCACTACCCAATGGTTCGAAAATTTCTTCAGCAATTGCATTTTTGAAAATGGGCAAGCGCAAGTAATGCCCAAGATAAAGTACTAGCATCGAACAGATCCAGTATGTATTGAATTAACTGTAGTGTCTAAAAATAAAGAACCAAAACCAATGTTTTAATTTATAAGCGAGTATGATCGTCTTTTACTTTAAAAAATGAAATGGAATCAGTTTGCTAAATTGCTGTTGTTGTTTTGTTGCTGGTGTAAAAAATCGTTTTTTACTTATTTAATTTTATTTTTGCGATTTGTTGAGTTTTAAACAATAAAAGTTTAGGTTTAATAATGGAAGATTTATTTTATACCAAAAAATAAAATTAAATAGAATTTGTCTCACTCATCATAATTTTTTTTACCGAGAAAATTTATTTGACAACACCACTAAATGGAGGAATAAACCACAATATCGGAGCTTGCGTGATTAAAGCCAAAGTTTTGGCCTCATAGAAATCTTAGGAACTGTATAATGTAAAACAAATATAAAAAAAAAGGAAACGTTCTCTTGCAATTTCAATCAAAAAATATTTTAACCTACAATTTTATATGCATTTTACTTTAAATTTCTATTAAGCTGTCAGGGTCAAGAGTCGAAGGAGATTTTTCAATTTGTTAAAGCGATATAGAGGAATCAGAGAGTCTTAGAAAATTTTATAAATTTCGAAACATAAACTAACAATTTTTGAAGTATATCGATCATATAAAGAAGTGTTTGGTTGTCGTAATCCAACCTTGAACACAGCTAATATTGTTTGACACAGCAAGGAGAAGTTTTATCTAAAATTAAACAAGTAAATAGGAATAAAAATAATGTCCAACAATAATTTTATTATTCTAGAATCTAGATAGTTTTTTAGATCACTAGAAACATATTCGATAGTGATGATAAAAATTTCAAAAACTTCTCATTTTAACTGTAAGATTGTGATAAGCTTTATAAAAGGCTGAATACTCTGCGTTGCTCAATTGTCAATTGATATTTATTTCGGAGCAGAGGAAAGCCGATAAGGCAATTGAATGATATAATGAATCATTATATGTCTATAGGTAAATTCAATTTTTTTCATTTTTAAAATATTTATTTAGTTTAATACATGTGCGGTATAAATATTTTGCATTACATCTGTAAATATTATGTAAATACAAATACGACGTTCACGTGTCCATTTGTTAGAAACTTATAAAAGTTTTTAGAAATAATAAATTAGACCGCCGTTTAACCGCAATATTGAAAATTAGACATTTCATCAGCATCTTGTATAGCTTGCTAGATTGTTTGGAGTCTTGTTCAGTTAAAATCATGGAATAATTATATCAATAACTATATTACCCTAATTCGCCACATTTTTATTTTAAAGTTTCATCCCGGGTTGTTACACATTGTGGCGATATAATCTCGTGGGGAAATCAACAGATGGTAGTTGGAACCAAATTGGATAAAACATACTATAGTGAAATTATAGCATCAGACAATCATTCATTGTTCATGAAGAAATGATTATACAAAGTGAAGTTTATATATAGAATAAAACAAATTGTTTGAAAGTATGTTATGTTTCTCCACTGCAAATCTTGGGAGTTCTTTGTTGTTAGATTTTTAATCAACAAATGAATTTCTTCTTTGATTTATTTTTTCATGCATTTCTTGCCTACACCATATCTTATAGAAGAATATAACAATTAAAAACACTTATGCATATGTCTTGCCAAACCTGGGGAATCAGAGAATATGTACATTCAACTTCAACTCCCCAATCTAATTAAAAATAACATAATCTCTTTCCATGAAATATCAAGTTTATTTATGAGCTTTCGTTTGATCATAGTCTAACTTCTCTATATAAAACACGATATGGCTGCAAATAATAAAGATCAGTATTTAGTTGAAAATTTATGGATCAAAATTACAGAAATACATTATACATTGGTCGTTAGAGTCTATCTCTACTGTGTCTATTCAAAAATTGATACTGGGGGGTTTCCAAGTTTGTCCATTTATATGTGTTCCAATGTTTGCATTTGAACTTTTTGTTTGTTGTTGTTTGTGTTTGTTTTGAAGTCTTTTTATTTGAGTTTCAGTA